AATTGGAGAGAATTGGAGAGTAAGGAAGGAAAGAAAAAAGAGGGAGGGAGGGAGGAAAGAAGGAAGGAAAAGAATGGGAGGGAAGTGAGGAGGAAAGGAATGGGAGAGAAGCAGGGAAGGAAAAATTGGGAAGGAAGGAAAAGAATTGGAGAGAATTGGAGAGTAAGGAAGGAAAGAAAAAAGAGGGAGGGAGGGAGGAAAGAAGGAAGGAAAAGAATGGGAGGGAAGTGAGGAGGAAAGGAATGGGAGAGAAGCAGGGAAGGAAGAAAGGAAAAATTGGAGCGGGATGGAAGAGGGAAAGAAGAAAAAAGAATTAGGGAAGGAGGCAGGAAGGAAGACAATTGGAGAGGGAGAAGGAGGGAGGGAGGAGAGAAAGAAGGACATAGAATTAGGGAGGGAAGGAGGGAGGGAAAAAAGCAGGAAAAAGAATGTGGGAGGTAGGAATGAGAGAAAGGAAAAGAATGAGGGAGGAAAGGAGGGAGGGAAGGAGGGAGAGAGAGAAAGTAAGAAAGAAGGAAGGAAGGAAGGAAGGAAGGAAGGAAGGAAGGAAGGAAATTGGGAAAGGAGGGAGGGAGAGACAGGATGCCTCAACATCCCCATTTTTTTAATATTTAAAAACAGGCCCCAAACCTACATTGTTTCAAGAGTGTCCCAGGGAAGATATACCATCCCTTAAGAAAGAATGATTTTATCTTTAGCGACTCTTTAGCCACTTGTCAGGCTTTTAATCCCTAAGTTCTTTTAATGCCCATTTTAGTATCCCTTTTCCCTCATGCTTTTAAGTTTTATGTTCTCTTTTTCTTCTCCCTGTATCTGCCGCCTTCGGTACTTGCCAAAGGAGAAGAGCAGAGCAGAAATCAAGCAACTGACATCTTTGGTCGAATTTGACGTCCTTATATAAGCCGCCTCCTAAGGCCTGAAAGACCCACATGAGCAGGAGGGGCTCATGATCGAGACCTCTGCGACATTTATGACCACCGGGCGTGTGCACAAATCACCCCTCGGAAAGGGTTAGGGGCCTCGTGGGGCTGAACCCACTCCCACTCATCTTCCATTCAAAGATTGAATTATTGTCACCGGCCGCTCTGTTTTATTTCTAGCTGAAATTCAGGCCGGGCCTCCCTGTGAGAAGCTGGGATGATTATTGATCATTGAATCGATTTTACATGATTCCCCATGTTGTTGGTTGGCTAATTGGGCCCTTAGCCATCGAGCAGACGCCATCAGTGACTGCTAACCACCAACGCACCTTTCTCTGAAATTTTAAATGGGGAGGGCTTCAACTGGGTATAGAGGGGCTGTTGTGATTTGGGGGGAGGGGGGACAGTGGTCCTCCCATCACTAATGAACAATAATTATGTTTTTATTACTTTGTAGGAAGTTAACACCCACCCCTCCCCTAGAAAAATTGAATATTTTAGGAAATATTAAAAGGGATGAATATTTCCCCCTAAAAGGGAGCAAGAAACTCCCCTTTCTCAATGGGACATTAAGGCCTGGGCCAGTCTATTCTACATAGCAAAGGTCTACCTCCTTCAGGCGGAGCCATAGTAAAGATTTATTCAACATCAAGTCAGCACAAATCATGACAGAACGGAGAAACTCCGGTTTGACAGCTCTTTTATATCGGAGCTGTCAAACCGGCAACCAATCAGAACGACGTTAGCTTCCTTAGGCGCCGCCTACATTGACCGACCAATCCTGTCATCGAGTGGAGATGATTGACACCTTGCGTTTGCCCAGTCTCAGACATAACAAGTAAGAATTGCCCAAAGCCCTTTCATTACATCATCACCCAGCAAGAGTCAACCAAGCCTGGGACTCAGGACAGCCTACAGAGTTGCGCATGCGTGGCCCCAAGTGGAGTCTGACAACCAATCGGAATGCAAGCTCGAATTCAAAAGCCCAACAGTGGATATAAATCTCAGGTGGACACTTTTTCCAACATTAACATTAACCCGCAAGAAATCTCATCTCAGTTTTTGTTATTTGGGGTGACTGTGTTTTATCATTGTCTTTTTATTTTATGTTCAGTCAGCTGCCCTGAGACATATTATTTATTGCGCAGCCTGGATAAAAGCCTGGATAAAAAGAACTATTAAAAAAAAAAACAGAAAGAAAAATGGATTCATCCTGGAATGGAAGGTAAAATCCCAGGAACCCAAAAAAAGGTTTGTGGCCCAAGGAAGGGGCGAGGTCCCCCTTAAAGGCAAAGGTTCCCCTCGCACACATGTGCTAGTCGTTCCCGACTCTAGGGGGTAGTGCTCATCTCCGTTTCAAAGCCCAAGAGCCAGCGCTGTCCAAAGACGTCTCCAGGGTCTTGTGGTCGGCATGACTCAACGCCCCCAAAGGAGCATGGAATGCTGTTCCCTTCCCACCAAAGGTGGTTCCTATTTTTCTACTTGCATTTTTTACCTGCTTTCGAACTGCTAGGTTGGCAGAAGCTGGGACAAGTCACAGGAGCTCCCTCCATTCCACGGCGCTAGGGATTTGAACCGCCAAACTGCCGACATTTTCTGATCGACATGCTCAGCATCTTAGCCACTGAGCCACATGCTTA